ACAGGCTTGGCACATATATCAATATACGCGTATATATACAAATGCACCAACGTATATCTATATATTCTCATACGCACCTCTCCGAGGGAGTAGAGCTCAGAGGCGATTAATGCGCACGTCGTCCGCGATGTTTCTGGCCGTTTCGCTCGGGACATCCTCGAAATTCTGAAAATCGGTGGCACCCCTCACGCAGATCGTGACGTCAGGGTCCAAAAACACATGGGAATTTCAACATTTTAACATACAACCTTCAAACACACATGGTAATTTCAATAATTTTGACCCCGATTCTCAGAGAATGGCGGTTTCGCATGAAAAATCCTCCCAAAATCGAGCCCCAGACCCCTCCTCGGAGCCTCCTGGGGGCCTCCTGGAACCTCCTGGGGCCTCCTGGGGCTTTCTGGACCTTCTGGTACCCCAGACCCCGCCTCGGAGCCTCCTGGAGTTCTCCTGGGCCTGCTGAGGCCGCCTGGGGCCTCCTGGGGCCTCCTGGGGCTTCAGAACTACCTGCACACACAGAGACACAAATCACGCCCAACACGTCACACGCTAGACAAACATAACATATACACACACACACACACAACACCGACAACACACAAAAAGCACGCACCACACAAAGCACACATCACACACACACAACACTCACAATCCTGGGGCCTCCTGGAGCCTCTTCTGGTATCCAAGTCGGGCCTCCTGAGGCTTCCTGGGGGGCCCTGGTACACACATCGCAAGGTGTGGCAACCCCACTTGCGCTCGAGTGCGACTTCGCTGTTGCATGTCACTCCTGCTTCAAACGCCCCTTCAGCTTGTTGTATGAGCCTGGGCACACACGTGCCACTTGTATATATCGAAAGAAACACATACATGTCCCAGCCCGCGGCATAAAACAAGTAGAGGTGAAGGGAAGATAAGAGGGAGGAAAAGCAGCCGAGGTAAGAAGGGGGCGAGTGAGAGGCGGAGGACGACGTGGCAGCGCTGACGCGAGCCAGACCCTGATGATGTGATGTTTCCGCGAGCGAGCCGCGGCTGGAAGACGAGAGCGGGGGCCCCGCCCACTGGCGGTAGCAGGGGCCCGTCGAGCCTGCGCGCGAAAGCGGCACGAGCAGGTGCAGCACCCCAGAAAACAGGACATTCGGTAGAGGGGAACAATTCGTGGACACTCCCCCGCCCCCTCGGGCTCAAAGTTGGCACGCGCGGGGCAGACTGCGGTCGAAGTGCAGCTCGTTCAACCCACCACCAACGTCGATCATTGGGGGTTGACAAATGAATGTGACATGACTGTTCGCTAATTTCTTCCGAGGCCTGTTGCAAGCCAGCTTCTGTCATACTTAGCTGAGAGAAGCGAAGTAGGGAGGACGTCTCGACCTATGGCTGCTTGGGTGCACCCAGTCCTGGTTTGTCAGTGTCCCTGCTCTCACGGGGCCCTGGTAGAAGGAGTCGGAGGATGGGGCCGCATCGCCGATGCATCGGCGATGCGGCGACACTCGGAGCCTTGTTCTTTCTCCATCCTGACGTCGCCGATGCACCGGCGATGTGGCTCGATTCTCTGACCCCATCTGCTCTGGCTCCACCTGGTAGGCTTCCAGAGGAGGAGCAACCCGCACAGCCAGGAGCATCAGAGTCGGCATCTGGAGAGAAAGAGAGAGAGAGAGAGAGAAAGAAAGAAAGAAAGAAAGAGAAAGAGAAAGAGAAAGAGAAAGGATAGGGGAATGAGACTCGCCAGGAGCACAGGAGCGTGGCGATGGCCTTCCGGCAGGGCATGGTCCAGTCGCTGCCTCAGCCGGGCGCGCAAGCCCAGAACGGCCTCCCTTCCGGACTCAGCCCCTCGACCCCCGCATCGCCGTTCTGCGTCAGTGACTCGTTCCTCTTCGCTCGTGCCGTGGGGGAGGGGGAAGGCGCTTCGTCACCGTGGCCTCCCAACCCCGGGCAGGGGCATGCCACCAGGCGTGCGGAAGCTTCCCTCGCGGGCCTCCGGCTCCCCTGGCAGCGCCCACGCGCCAGATGGCAGCGCTGGCACGCAGCCGCTTGGCAGCGCCGGCGCGCAGGTGCGGCGCACCGCGCCGCGAGGCAGGCAGGGGCCGCGCTCGCGGGGCCGGGGGCCAGCAGCTTGGGCTCGCCTGGCGGGGTGTCGTGGCCAGGGCGGCCCCGCCCCTGCGAAGTCCTGCAGGTGCCGAGGGGGCCGCGAGGAGAACGGTGCGGCCGAGGGAGGGAGGAGCAGGAGGAGCAGGAGGAGGAGAGGAGGAGGAGGAGGAGGAGGAGGAGGAGGAGGAGGAGGAGGAGGGCGATGAGGACCCAGAGGAGGAGGGAAAGGTGGGAACCCAGACATGCCCGCGCCGCTTGAATTATTCACTGCGTGGGCTCCCCACATGTGCATCCATTCGCATGGACCTGTCCGCCGTGAATGTCTAGGCGCAAGAGGTTTCGAATATAAACGGGCTTCAGTTGTGACGGTCTGGTCATGGATCTAACTGCGAATGACTTGGAGTGTGAATGAGCCTCAGTAGTACGAGCGCGTCTCTGCGCATGAGCCTGGGGCCTCCTGGGGCCTCCTGAAACCTACTGGGGCTTCCTGGGGCCTCCAGCAGCCGCTTGGGGCCTCCTGGGGCCTCCTGAAACCTCCTAGGGAGGATTCGTGCCCCAGGGGGGGGCCCAATCTATAGCAACAGACGTACATCAAACATTGCGGATTGGAGCCACAAGAGGAGGGCAATCTATAGGAACACGCGTAAAACACCAAGGACTCGTGCCCCAGGATTGTGCACACAGGAGAAGGACAATCTATAGAAACATACGTATAACATCAAGGATTCGTGCTCCAGGTGAGGCCCAATCTATAGGAGCATACGTGAAACACATGGGATTGGAGCTACTCCTGTTGCATTCTGAGGCCTCCTGCTCCTGGGGCCTCTCGGGGCCTCCTGTTGCCTTCCGAGGCCTCCTGGCGCTTCCTATGGCCTCCTGCGGCCTCCTGTGGCTTCCCGATGCCTCCTGGAGCGTCCTGGGGCCTCCTGGAGCCTCTTGGGACATCCTGTGGCCTCTTGAGTCTTTCTGTGGCCTCCTGATGCCTCCTGGGACCTCATGTGATCTCCTGGGGCCTCCTGGAGCCTGTTAGAGCCTCCTGTGGCATCCTGAAGAGAATCCGTGCCCACGAGTCTGGCCACCAAAACAGGCAAACCGATCGAGACATCTTCAAAATCTGGCCCACCTGGGGGGGGGAAATGAGCGCCTCGCTCGGGACATCCTCCAAATCTGCTCCGAAAGCGAAGGATGTTGGGACAGAAAACAGGCAAACCGTTTGACATCCCCACAAAACGGCCGCGAACGGGACCGTGCAATACCCCTCAGCGGCTCCCCTTAGGGGCGTAACAATGAGCGCCTGGCTCGAGACATCCTCCAAATCTGCTCCGAAAGCGAAGGATGCTGGGACCGAAAACAAGCACACCGCTTAAAACATCCTTACAACACGGCCGCGAACGGGACCGTGCAATACCCCTCGGCGGCTCCCCTTAGGGACGTGAAAATGAGCGCCTCGCTCGGGACATCCTCCAAATCTGCTCCGAAAGCGAAGGATGCTGGGACAGAGGACAGGCAAACCGCTTGAGAAATCCCCACAAACGGCCGCGAACGGTGCGTGCGTGAGTCTCAGCATGAGCAAGTCTGAGTAGGAGTAGATCTGAGTATGAGTAGGTCTGAGTATGAGTAATTTTGTGTGTAAGGCTGGGTATGAGTAAGTCTGAGTGTGAGTCAGTCTGTGTGTGAGTAAGTCTGGGTATGAGGAGGAGAGGGGAGGAGAAGGAGAAGAAAAAGGAGAAGTCGGCGGCGTCCAAGAACTAACAAGAACCCCATCTTAGGATATGGGGAACAAGAACCCCATCTTAGGATATGGGGAAACATCTGGACGGGAGGTCGTTGGCCGTCTGCGGCCCCTGAGGGCCTTCCCCGGGCCCCAAGGCCGTCAAAGAGCGACCCGGGATGCAAGAGCAGCCGTGGAGAAAGGAAGGGCTGGGGACTTCGGGGACCTGGTGTCGAAAAGATCCGGACGTCGCATGCCTGGGAAGCAGATGGACCAGAGCAGGGGGGGCTTCTGCGGGACGCAAGAACGACCACAGCCACTGCTTTTCTTTTGTTGCCGCCTTCCAGCCAGCAGAAACAAAGCAGTGGTTGTGGTCATTTTCGTTAAGCTTGGCACCAGGGAAATGACCACAACCACTGCTTCTTTTTCGGCCGGCTGGAAGGCAGCGCAAACAAGAAGCAGTGGTTGTGGTCATTTTCCTGTCCCGCATTTTCCTAGGGGAGCGTTTTTGCACCTCCTGGCGAGAGCGGGCGTGGGGCCACGAGGAGAAGGGCGCGGCCGAGGGGAGGGGGAACGCGGACCGACCATCGCACGAATTGCGTACGTGGGCCCTGGAGGGCCCTCCCAGGAGGGCGTTTGTTTATCCCTCGCGATAACAGGCTTGACTGGGAAGGGGGAGGGGACCGGTCACGTCACGATGCGCGCCGGCACCTTCTGGGTATGCTAAGGTCGGGAGCCTTGAGACGGGGGTCAATGCAAACGGGGGTCAGCCAGGGCGCCAGATCCTGCAGGATCCTGCGAGCCACCATGAGGCCTCGCCAGTGAGGACCACCATGAGGCTTCACACCCCTCTCAGTTTCCATCATTGGAACTGCGGGGGCTGCGAAGACCCCCTCTGGCTGACCCGGGTTAGCGAGCCGCCCGTGGCCGCGAGGCGGCCGCGCACATTGGCCGACCCGGGTCTGCGAAGACCTGCGTTGCAGTGTTTTTTTTCCTGCATGGCAGTTTTTGGTTTCCTGCTGACCCGGGTCTGGATTGACCCGGGTCAGAAGATCCCCGATGGGGATTGGCCAGTTCCAAAGCGGCGCCGGCGCGAATCGTGACGTGACCAGGGGGGGTGGGAGGAAGAGCAGATGGAGGGGGAGGAGGAGGACAGGCCCGAATTAAGACCAGGGGGGCTGGGAGCAAGAGGGTCAGGGCCGCCCACGGGCGTTGTCGCGACTAACAAAGATTGGCTCCAGGTGCCCGCGGTGCCCTCACAGGAGGCGGGGGCTGCTCTCGCCCCCACGCACGCGAGGCACCCCCTCGCGACCCTCGCAGCGAGCGGTCGTCGCTCCGAGGCGGCCTGCCGAGGCTGGGCGGCCGATGCGTGGGATGTCAGGGAGGCCTTCGCGAAAGGAGCCGGGCGTCATCAGCAATCATAGAATCACCGCTCTCTGCGACGAGCCTCAAACTTTTTGCAAATCGACATGCGCAATTAGTCCCTTTCTTGGCTCTGATGTCGTTGGACAAATCGTCGGCCAAAATGTTCAGAGCCCCGAATCATCAGGGGTAACTCGGGTCAGGGCTAACTCGGGTTCGTTTTTCGGGATTCCGAACCCGACTTACCCCGGACCCGAGTTACCCCGGATAATTCGGGCATCCAGAGCCCCGAATCATCAGGGGTAACTCGGGTCAGGGTTAACTCGGGTTCGTGTTTCGGGAATCCAAACCCGAGTTACCCCGGACCCGAGTTACCCTGGATAACTCGGGCGCCCAAAATGTCCCGCGATGGCCTGGGCTGCCGGACCGAGCCGCTCGGAGAGCTGCCGAAGCCTCGGCGTCTCGGGCGGCGGCGGCTCTCGCACACGGCCCAGGGGTCCCTGCGCTGCGTCGTCGTCGGCACGCACTGGGCCAAGAAGAGGCTGGCGCAGCACAAACTACGCCGACCACGACAAGCGCTTCACGTGCAGAACCGTGGGCACCCTGCGCCACAGGCTGTGGCAGTCTTGCGCCTCGGCCGAGATGCGTGAGTTCAGCTTCGTTAAGGTCGTGTTTGAGGAGGCATGCGTGGGCGCTGCTGCCGCGCGCTGCCCTGCCACCGCCAGGCCCGCGTGACGACTCGAGCATTTGGCGATGTGGGCTCGGCATTGCGGACGAGGTCGTCACGGGCGCAATCTACTCAACGCGGGTAATTCAACGCGGGCCTCGCTAGCGGTGCCTTGCAGCTTAATGGCGATAATGTCGCGAGGTGGCGCCGCCGTTGCTGCTAGCTGCTGGCCGCCGCCCCGCCGTGGCGCCCAGGCTTCCAAAATCGCCCAGCGCCGAGTGCCGAGTGCCACTCGACTCACCTGCGAAGACTTGGCTGGGGACGTACGCGGTGTGGTGGCAAAGCGAGGTATGTGAAGTGCATATTTTGCATGGGCAAGTGGAGGTGTCAGGCTCGCGTCCAAGCGGTTGGGGCCACTGCGCGCTTGCAGGCGGCCAACCTGGCAGCCGCTGCGGATGGAGCGAGGAGGCGGCAGTCCAGTCCCTACACTCAGGCGACAGCCTAGTCCCAGCTCAGGATGAGCCGAGCCGCATGTCAGGCAGGTGCATGGCTGCTGTGGCGAACAGCTCCGAAGAAGACTCCAGCGTCAAGAGGACGATGGCGGATCGTGCTGGGCCGGAAGATCGTTCGTGTCTCGAGTTAACTGGAGACGAGCTGCACCTCAACGCCCGCCCGATGCGAGTCAGTTTCGAGCAGAGTCCAGCGGCCAAGGCCGAGGCGCCAGTTCCCAGCTGCGCGCCCGCCGCACCACCGCCAGAGCGGCAGCGAGGCGCCACCTGTTCGCTCGCGGCTCGCGCGGCTCCCGAGGTCGCCCCGCCTGAGCAGCATGGGGTGCTGGTCCCTGCCAGGGCGACGCGAGGGCACCTGGCTCGTGGGCGGCAAAGTGATCGGATGCTGGCACTGCGACGTTGACTCGTCACGGTCCGACCTTCCCTGTCCAAGGAGTGCGATCCGCGTGCCGACTAGCTCCAATCGGAAGACGCGCATCGACCGCTTCATGACAGGCAGGCATCCGAGCACGGCGGCGACCTTCCCGGCCCCGAGGGCGCTCCGTGTCGGTGGCCCAGCGGTGACCCAGCTCCAACTGGGATGAGCGAACGCAAACATTGCCTGCGGCTGTCTCGCAGTGTCTTTCGCAGGCTGCCTACTTGTCTCTGTGGTTTCTGTGCTCTGTACCCAGTTGCCACCAGCTGCAGCTGCCTTGCACGCCGCCTGCTGAATCGTCTCTCTGGCCGCTCCGCGCAATGTACTCAGCCGCTGCAGCTGCAATTGGACTCGCACGCTTGCCGCCAAATTGTCTCTGCGGCCGCTCTGTACTGTGGGAGCGTTTGTTAAAGGAATGTGCCCGGGAGGCTGCAGACCCTTGCGGATTCCTCATCTTCTGAGGGCGGCGGCGATCTCCATGGCCCATCGACGATGGGAGTTCCACTGGCTTCCAGACCCTGGACTCCTTATCAAAGGGTTCCTTCTCCGATGCCTCCGCCGCAGTTGTGCCCGCCGATGCAGCTGAAGTTGTTCTGCGCGCCTGCCGTTGAGTCGGGCCTGTCCCTCTACAGGGGGGATGTTCGAACATTGTGAAACATAGCCTGGGGACGATGTTTTGAGGAGTTTTGGTACATTTGTTTGAATACGTTTGACTTTATTTTCTGTTTGTTCAAAACCCCCCGGTAGGGGGAGAGGCCCGACCTGAGTCGGGGGCGGCAAAGAGGGGGGTGATGACTAGGGGGGTGGATATCATGGCGGGGGCCATGACACTTCCCAGGATGTCATGCCGCCTCGTCTTATTTCGTTGCCTCCCTGGCCTCCCCGCTGGGCCGCGCACATGCCGCCGGTCACGATTTGCACCCCCCCCCTCTTGGTCGGGGGTGGACAGAACCCCCAACAGTGACACGTCGATTAGTGAATTGTCCGTTTTCGGTTTTCGAGAGGGCGCCGTAGCCGTTATTTTCCAGGCTTGCGCCCGCCAGGTTTGGGCCCGAAGTCGTTTTCACTAAACCACGTTTTACTAAAGGGAGGTCTGTCTATCCCCGACTTGGACCCCCCTCTTGGCCGCTCCCGACCGAGCCTACCTCCTGTCCTCTCTGCGGCAGCGTGGCCCGCGCCCGCCGCGCCGGGGGCCCGCGTGCGCTCTGCTCTCCGCTCGCCTGCCCCTCCCTCCGTGGCGGCCGCCTCCGCGCCTGTGGGCCGAAGCCCGGGCGCCCGTGGCTTGAGCCCACTCGGGAGGCCACCTCAAGACCTGAAACGACGCGAAGATCGGGACAAAATCGGATCGAGATAACTCGAAATCTCTGAGAATCGGCGGGTTTGGAGGATGTATTGGGCGCCGCGGCCGCTCCAGAGCGGTCCAGAACCTTCTGAGAGCGCTCCGGAACGCTCTAGAGCGATTTATCCCGATCCTAGCGTTGTTTTAAAACCAAATCTTTGAACCACCGAGCAGGGCTCGAGTTAAACAGTGTTTTCCGTTTCCGTTCTGTCTTCGTCCTCCCTAGTTCTGCCTTCGCTCCACATTTGCTGCCAAACGAAGTCAAAACGAAAACGGTCCCCGAAATTGCCCAAACACCGTTTAGCTCGAGCCCTGCCACCGAAGAGATATTCGATGTGTCCTCGCCCGGATCTGGCCTCGCCCTGGCTTCGTCTTCTCCTCCGAGGGCGGCGGGGCTTCTCGGGGGCCCTGCGGCCCTCGGAGAGAGGCCGCCTGCGTCTCCCGAGGAGGCGCCTCGGGAGCTCCTCGGGAGGCCGCACGGGCCTCCGGCCGGGGAGGCCGGCTTCCTCTGCCTCCCCCCCGTGGGTCAGCCAGAGCGCCCCTCCTCCTCCTCCTCCTCTCTCCTCCTCCTCCTCCTCCTCCTCCTCCTCCTCCTCCTCCTCCTCCTCCTCCTCCTCCTCCTCCTCCTCCTCCTCCTCTTCCTCCTCCTCCTCCTCCTCCTCTGCAGGCCTGCAGGATCCTGCGCGCGGGCCCGGGCTTGGGTGCAGGATCCTGCAGGATCTGACGGGAGTCTGCAGGGCCCGACTGACCCGGGTCTGGATGGACCCGGGTCAGAAGATCCCCGACCGACGCTGCCCGCGTGCCTGGCAGGAAGCGGCCCCGCTCGGGCGCGGCAGGGCCCTGGCGTGCTGGCACTCCCTGCAGGGCCCCTGCGGTGCGCCAAGATCTGGAGCATCCCTGTAGGGCGTATGCCGAGCGGCCCCTGCGGCCCGAGGTGTGGCGGGCAGATCCTCCGCGCGAGGAGGAGGAGGAGGAGGAGGAGGAGGAGGAGGAGGAGGAGGAGGAGGAGGAGGAGGGGATGGGGCCACGCAGGATGACCGCAGGGGGGACTGACGGGGAAGCGGGGAGGGAGGGACAAGGAGGGGGGGGCAACTCTTGCGGTACCCATGTTTTCGTCTTCCTTTTCCTCTTCCTCCTCCTCTTCCTCCTCCTCCTCCTCCTCCACATATCGCCGCACCATTTGTTCCGACGGGCGCCATATGTTCCGACGCGCGGCTCTTTCTACATGTCGCCGCGCCGCTCTTTCTCCTCATCCTCCCTTGTTTTGATTTAGTGCCGAGCTGCAGCTTTCGTGCGTCGGTGCCGTCGGGAAGAAGGAAAAGAAGAAGAAGACGAGAAAGAAGGAGGAGGAGGAGGTTATCGGTGGCACAGTCCGCAGCTTCGAGCTTCGAGGACGAGGAGGAGGGAGGGCCTCCCCCACATCGTATGCAAATCTCCAGAGTGGGCCCAAAATGCGAGCCCCGTCGGAAGCGCACAAAGTCGGGGATTGGGGTCGGCATACGCCTCGTGAGTGCCGATTCAGCCGCCGTGGTCCGAGCCGATGCTTGTTACGATCCGATATCGTGTATCGATTCGGTGTTGACCGTTCTTGCTCTTTCCTCACGTTCTTCACCCGTCGCTCTGCGGTCTTCGATCCCACTCGCACTGCCGAGGCTTTGCAAGTTGAAAGAGGAGGAGCGGCAGCAACAGCAGCAGAAATTGCACGAGGAGGGAGAACGACGGAGGAGGAGGGGGAGGGAAAGGACATGGCAACGGGGGAGGAGGATGAAGGAGGCGAGGAGGAGGAGGAGGAGAAGGAGGAGGCACTTTGCTTGCTGTCGCTTTGCTGTGAGCTGCTGCTGGAAGGGCACAGCAGTCGCCACGGCCAGGGCACAAACAGGGCGCGTCCACCTCCTCCTCCTCCTTCTCCTCCTCCTCCTCCTCCTCCTCCTCCTCATCATCATCATCGTCCTCCTCCTCCTCCTCCTCCTCCTCCTCCTCCTCCTCCTCCTCCTCCTCTCCCCTCCCCCTCCTCCTCCTCCTCCTCCTCCTCCTCCTCCTCCTCCTCCTCCTCCTCCTCCTCCCTCCTCCTCCTCCTCCTTCCTCCTCCTCCTCCTCCTCCTCCTCCTCCTCCTCCTCCCTCTCTCCTCCTCCTCCTCCTCCTCCTCCTCATCCTCCTCATCCCTCCTCCTCCTCCTCCTCCTCCTCCTCCTCCTCCTTCTCCTTCTCCTGCTCCTCCCCCCTCCTCCTCCTTCTTCCTCTCCTCCTCCTCCTCCTCCTCCTCCTCCTCCTCCTCCTCCTCCTCCTCCTCCTCCTCCTCCTCCTCCTCCTCCTCCTCCTCCTCCTCCTCCTCCTCCTCCTCCTCCTCCTCCTCCTCCTCCTCCTCCTCCTCCTCCTCCTCCTCCTCCTCCTCCTCCTCCTCCTCCTCCTCCTCCTCCTCCTCCTCCTCCTCCTCCTCCTCCTCCTCCGTCTCCTCCTCCCCCTGATTCTCCAAATTCTCCATAGATGACGGGATCCTCGACGCCGAGACGCGAACACCCAGCCACAACGCAGGGGGGGGGGCGGCTGGTCTTGGGCGGTGCGCTGGCCTCCCAGCGCACGTTCAGCCAACAAGATCCTACCCCAGCCGCTTTAGACGGGTCGACTCCTTCTCGGGGCAACTTCAAGCTCCGAGCTGCGTCGTTATTCCGAGGGTGGTTGCTGCACCTGTCGGAGAGGTATTGAGACCTACGGTTCCCAAAGGCCCCACACCTCGAACACCACGCCACACGACCCCTTCCAATGAAGAGCTGGTGGGAGGGGTGGGCGAGGCGAGCTACCTTAGGCAGCCCAGAGCAAGGAACCTTACCAACGCTTGTGCGCGATCCTAGCTCCCCGCATCTGACACACTGGTACTTGAATCTGCCACCTGGAAGCTTATAGCGGATCAGTTGGTGGCCAAGCGCATCGGGCACCAGCTCGAGACCTCCAGGACGTTGTCTAACCTTGGCCCGAACTTTCTCGACATCTGGGACGTTGAGGCGGGATAAGGCTTTCATGGTTTCGTGGATCACGCAAGTGCTGTGAGTGACCAGCTCGGCCTGATGCACGTACAATTGCTTAGCTCGGGGGTTGTGGGGGTGCACGGCGGCCCCTAACTTAACCAGGCGATCAGCCTCTCGGCACCCAGCCCACACCCAGAACTGAAACCCGCGGTCCAGGGCGGCCCCACGAGACAGGTGGCTCTTGACTGTCGAGAGGGTAATGTTGTGCATCCCAACATCCGCAGCCCTAGCGAAGATGTCACTCCACAGCTCGCTGTAGCTGACATTGGTAAGGTCCTGGCCTGGGCCTTTTTCCCAGGCGTCACAGACCATCTGGCAGGCCGTGCAGAACTCTGTGGGGCAAGCTCCCACTTGCCGCAGGGCCATGAGAAAGGCGTAGACACCCCCCCCCCTCCAGAAGACTGAAGGGTGGGGGAAGGGGACCGAGAAGCGACCCAGCAACATTCCCGCCTAAGTCAATTGCGACCGCGCCCCAGCCAGCCCTCGCGAACACTTCACTGTCTGGGTCCAAAGCCGAACCGTCCAAACAGATCTTGCCAGTGTCGAGGACACCAGAGGGGGGGAAGACGCTCCACTTGAAACCAGCATCGACCAAGGGAGGGGGCCAGAGGAATTCGGGGCTATTAAACAGGCCCCTGGTGAAACCAGGGTCTTCGTCACCAGCCCCCCTTCATTTGGCGAGATACCCTTCGAGGTCGAGGCTGGAGCGGAGCCCAGCGTTCCCGCCACAGCCGAACAAACGGTGCTTGGGGGTGCCAGAGGGCTCTCCGCACCATCTGCAGAGAGGAGGCACCACTCGCCTCCCCGCGAACAGGGCTTCTTGAGTCGCGCAGCCTCCAGCCACGACTCCAGAATCAAATGCGGCGTCCGTTCCTTTCCCTTGCCCACGCAACGATTGCAACTTATCCACGACGGGCCCCAGGAGAGGTCCAGAAGCAAGCCCAGGAACTGTTTTGGCCGATGCTACAGATGAGTCCTCTCTGGGTGTCCTGTTCGATCAGAGCTTTCATCGTCCTCTTGCCCAGGGTGCCAGGATCCACTGAGACCCCTCTCCTCGTAACCCAGGACCTGTAACCTAGAACGCGCCAGCCGAGTCTGAGCAGCGTGCACAGCACAGCCCCTGCAGGTCCAGTGACCTGCCCACAGTCAAATCCTGGGGTGTTGAGAAAGGCGTCATCACTTTTCTTCATCTGCTGCTCAGG